ACTTGGATTGGGCGACGGATGTCATTGAGAATGGCAAGCGAGGGTGCAGTGAGAAGCGATGGCGACAGACCGCCATGCATGCACAGGATCCTATCCGCCACCACTGCAGACAACGGCATCACTGCGAAAACTTCCTGAAACCATAAAATGACATGATTCTTGAATCTATGGAGAGCTGTTCCTCCCACTCCCACCAAGAGGCTTACAAATGTTTCAGCATAACGCCAAACTGGGCAAAGCTCTGCCATTTGTGGCTGTTTTGATTCTCACTGCTAAATTTTAAGGCCAAATACGCACACAAAATGCCCTCATACTTACTGGTGCAATCAGTAGTGGGTAAGCGATCGACTTCTCATCTATTTGGAATTTCCAGTTTAGCTCTATAAGGTGGTGCACGCGTACGTGGAGAGGCGAGGTGAAGAAACGGCAATCACTATCAGCTTACGTTACCAATCGTAACGCATTCTCTGACCTCGGTTAGTGTTTGAAGTCACGATCACTAAGTCTGAAAGCTCGCAGTCGAAAATGTTAAAGCCACGAGTCAGGATTAGGTGACCATAGAAGGCCTTTCCATCACTAAAATTTCCAGGAATGCGCTCAGAGGGGTGTTGCCGCACTCCTGACTCGAGATTGCGCGCCGTCAAGGTTTCTGGCCTACAACTTATAGCGATGGGTTTGTTACATCAGCTGGTCCCGCCCACCGCGGGATGTGGTGCGTGGCTGGCCTAACGTGTGAGATCAGCTAGGTTGATTGCCGTATCAACCGATGGAACGGCTGGCATATCCGGAAAACTCGTTTGGACGTGGCTCTCCCCCGAGCAAGCCTCCTTCACTGCTAGAAAGGAAGGGGTTTCGATTTCGGTCTTGTCGACGGTTTCTTTGCGTTTTTTCTTCACTGTCGTTCCACCTCCCATCTCTACACTCAATTTCAGGCGCCATAATGCCCAAACACGAGCCTGACTTTTGCCTTTTGGCGTAGAGTGCAAAGAGGATCATCAATAGAAGAAAAATTAAAAGAACTGCTACAAGTGTATCAACAGTTCGAGGCCCTCATTGGCAAAGTGGCGACGGATCGATGATAAATTGCCATTACTTTTCACACCGAGAGGATAGACGAGGGAGTACAGAGGCGTGCGAGACGCAGACAACCATCGCGTCGCGTAGACAGTTGTGCGACACAACGCGCGTGAGAGTTTGTAGCGCATGAGATAGGCATGGATTTATCACCTTCAGTGCGCTACTCTACCTGTTGTAAAGGTTTTATACGATCCAGCGGTAACTAACTGATCCGTTACAGTAATCGATAGGATCAAAGCTAATGTGCTTGCGTGCATTGAGAAAGAGAAGATGTTGATACGAGATCGAAGCAGCTAAAAAAGATTGGATGGTACCACATTACCGCCTGGAAGTGTTGCGCATGGATTATCTCGTCATCAGCTCAAATTAGCCGCCTCATTCATGTAGCAGTCGCCTAACGCAATGCTGCCGCAGTTCCGTTCGTTAACACTTAATACTCGTGCGGCGAACTCCTTATACCTACCATGCAAATTGCATGACACAACCTCATCTGGGGTTGCTGCTTTAGGTGGGGAAAAGCTGCGGGCATTATAAGGCGACATCTTTAAGTTTTCTTTGCAACGCACATTTGTAAGAACTTGCAAGTCGCTAAAGGAGTAGTGCCTCGCCAAATGCGAAAAGTTATTCACGAAATTCTGAGAGTGAATAGGTGCGCGGTCGAAAACGGTTACAATTACCTGGAAGGCATTGTAAAGACGAGGTGTGCCGAATCGGCGTACGAGATCTTCATAGAAGCCGTAGATTCTGTTGACGATCGGTGTTTCGTGGTTGCCGCGAAGTAGAAGGAAATTTGCGGGGAATTTCAGCTAAAGTTTGCAAAGGATCATTTGCTTATCACATCTGATACTGCTTACACTGAGACTTATTTTCAACATTTTAATTAATTTTACAGTGGGTCCTACTTTTAAAGAGAACAGAAGCAAAATGGTTTCGAGGCTCCACTGCCCACGATCGACATAGTCACCGAGAAACAAGTAGTTCACCGTTGGAGGCCATCCAATCTGAGAAAGGTTCTATTGAGTGATTCACTGCAGTTGTTCGGAAAGGAAGTGTTCACCGCACCATGTTGAATATCCGAATTAAATCGCTAAATTGGCCGTGTATGTCACCACAGATGTTGAGAGGCGGTGAGCACTCCAACATCATCGGTTGAGAGCTGAACAAGTCCTTCGCCATAACAACCATATCCATCATTTCCTAAACAAAAGCAACTGCATAAAACTTCCCAACATTCGTAGCTCACTAAAATATGCGGTGTGAGAGGAACCTAAAAAACTACCTCCTCTTGGAGATAATCACCGCAGCAATAAGGTAGGATTCCTATGTGGTGGGAAGGGAAGAAGGTGAGGAAGTACATGGGGGAGGTTGAGAGGGAATACAGAAAAGGGAGAACAGCTTGAAAGAGGATCATATTATATGATAAATTAATGCTCGAGAAAACGGTATGCCTAGAAGAACGGAAGCAGGCTACTCAAACTCACTAGTTGGGATCAAACCAGTGTGTTGTCTTGTCAGAAAATTAGACGAAAAGTGCGATGAGGAACGCTAGTGAAAAGAAAAGCAAAAAGCACCATAAACACTGAAATTTCCCTTGTGAGGTCGGCCGTGGTATGACGGAGAGACACAGCGCTGCGAGGAGAGGGAAAACGCGAGAGAGCACGTCGTACGCGAGAGGCGCAGACGCCACGTGTGCCGCGGCTGAGAGAGTAACAGCGGTTATTGCCCTTGCCGAGCACTTTTGAGTCGCTACAGTGTCGCACCTCCTGCGCTTAGGGATCCCCCTTTCTCACTATGGGCAGGATTACTTCTTGGCACCTAATCCCGACTCGTGGCTTCAAAGGTGCCCAGAGCGACTGCCCGACTGTAGGACTGTGGTCGCGGACACTAGCCACCTACACAAACGCCAAGCTCTCTATTCCTACGGTGCCGCTCCCATAGGTTATGAGCTCCATGCCCTCGGTACTCCGCTTTGTGAAACAACTACTGACGCACTAGCCTAGCTTGGGTCGCCTTTCGTCGTAATAACTTCTCGCTTAATACCCGCTAGTCAAATGTTCGAACCTTGTATCCCATCTTTAAAGAATCCCAATGCGAAGACTGGTAACCTTTCAACAGTCCACGTTGCTTAGGCCTTAATAAAATCATCTGCAGGCGCCTATATCATATTGTGATGGCCAAAACCCGCTAACTGAAAGTTTTCGCGACAGTCATCTCCTAATCTATACTTCCTTTCACAAGAATTTCCATACCTTAAAGAAAAGCTGAAGCGAACCGCCCATTGATACAAGTCTGCTACCGATGCCCATATTTTTTTGGCTTGAGGCTAAGCTAGGGCGAAATCAACCTACTGAAAAGATGTGGTGAGTCTGTCTCACAGCATAAATCTTTTGCCTTACCGATTCAGCTATTGTCGAGGTGACTCCCGTTCCAGGTTTACCCACATTAACCAGTCTAAGCAGGAACGAGTCCAAATCGAGTTTATTCGTCACATTTGGTTCTGAAAGGAGTTATTTGTATAGTTTATTGACAGCTCCGCATAAAGCGTTGTTCCAGTTGAAGCAGCGCCCGGCTCATTTACACTTACCAGGAAGGTCACTAGGGCTGTGCTCGCTTTTAAAGCCATTTTGCATGATTTAGGCACATGCTGAAGCCCAGAACTATGGTTCATGTTCTCAGCTCCTCTGAATGCCAGAAATGACAAAAGCGCCCCACACTGTCTAACGTCACATGGCAAAAGCCTCTCATTCCCGTAATTATGGTTCTATAGTGATAATGCGTCCATCATCAGCTGCGGGAAACATTTTGGGACCGCACGCCAATGTTTATCAAATGTGTAAAACTTTACCACCACGCGGGATGGTACCACGAACCAATCTTTCGTCCGCTTTATGCCGTTTGGAGAGGCCGATCTGGACAAATGAAGCCTACTAGTTCCTAGTTCCATGCACATGTCCCTATAAATGTAAAGCACCGCTTTCCATCATGCACTTCAGTAGAGCTTGCCATCAGTAGATCTACTGATTGTACATCCCATGAGGAAAAAATCTCATAAGGTGCTCATTTCGCTCCCCATCGCGGCAGTGAAGGAGCTGAGATTGAAGTTTTTAGCTGAGATGATTCACTTCCGGGGTTGTCGTGCAGGCGACGATCGTTCAGAAGCATTGAGGCAATAGGACACAACTGCAGATAAATTGAGCTGAAGAAGTACTCAAATGCATCTCATCCGATGCGATGAAAAGCGAGTGCCTGTTGATGTTCAAATGCGTTGTTCAATTTATAATTTCGTACCGGGTACCAGAACGAAAAACGCTTAGACTGCTTGCACTGGTTCCATCCTATCGACCATATACACGCAGAAGCTAACCGAGGACTATCACGTTCCTGCCTCGCTGTCATTAAAATGCTCTGCTTTTTCTTTTTCGCGGATATCAGTAGTTCCCTCATCGACCTTGCTCTTCTTACCTGTCGTCCCTACGCATTAGTTCGCCGCCTTGTGCCAGTCATTTGACTTTTATAAGGCTTTCCAAAACTCCCATCCATCAGTTCATTTAGACGTTTAGACTTAAGATCGAGTTTATACTTTGAGACACAGTGAAGATTAGCCACTTTGCAGATCTCTCCTCGAACCTAGTATTAGCACTGATTCTTATAGCCTCAATGGTCATGTGATTCAGTCCTTCATCAGCACGCTTGTCAACTTGGGCCTAAAACTGCCGTGCCAGAGAGGAATTGACACCATTTTCTAATTTTTTTTCGCTAAAAATAGCATTGCCAGGGATCGAACATATGGTAGCTGAGGTTATAGATGTGATAGGCCTACGTTTAACAGCTTTCTGCTATCGTTACCCCGACCACCATTGTTTATCTGCACTCATTCCAGATGTTAATTATTAAATTTCTTTGCATTCTTCTCTGAATTTGTTTGCTCCTCTATTGTATATTTAATCCACATTTGTTCATACGTATGTAGTTTTTCACCCTTTTGATTTTCGTGGCCGTTCTGTTATAGTTCTCGTCCCCGTTACTAAATTGCAGTGGTTTGTTAACCCAACCGCTCGCTCCTTTGGGGTTTTCCAGTCCTCCTCACAGTTCATGGCATTTTTTATTCAAATTTAATCCAAAGGATAGCAGTCTCTATCACACTAAATGAATACCCTGTTGGATTCAAAAGAACGATGGTTCGGGTATGAAAGTATTCTCGCCTTCAAAGTGGATGATTGAGCACTCTCAGCTTTGGCAAGGGGGGTCTTTCAGGGCAAGCCGTGCTTTTTCAAACGGTTCCTGCATATTGTAAGTACTACTACAACCGTGTGTGGACCACAAAACCATGTTTCTGTGCTCCCTATAAGTGGATGATTGAGCACTACAAGCTTCTCTACAATATACAGGGGGGCAAAAAAGAGTCACTTTGCCTATGGCGCACATCATCAAATTTTTCTTCGCACAGAATGCCGCAGCTAATGAATGTTTTACGGCAGAATATTCCTTAGGTGTCCCCCCATAAGCAGAAGCAGCCCCTACTTCAATGCCCTCACGGTCTTCAGAATATGACGTCATCTGCCGTCGCCGTCAAGCTCAACGGGGCTTACCGTAATCGCTCCGGCCTGAAGCTGCAACCTAATTTTCATCAGTTAACGTGGTGACCCTAGCTTCCCTAGAGACACTATTGGCGGTGTGTACTGTGCCAAGAACCGCATTTTGACCGGGCCATTTCGGAGACGTTCGTAATGGTCTATTTAACCCATCCACGACGTCCGTTAGAAGACTCGTACGATGAACCATGTTTGCCGTGGGGAAAAATCCTTCTGATGTGTCGACTTGTGTGGAAGCTGTCATGTAAGCATTACACTAAGTAGACTTTGCATTATGCGCCTTTAATATCGATTGGGTCTCCACATGTAATTCGTTTCTTTTGAACAGGTCGAGATTAAAAAATTGGGTTTTGCATGTTGGAGAGAAGTGATTGCTCTTTCCCCCCTCACCCCCTCTGTCGCAGCTTCTCTAATCAATATACGGAAACCATATGTTGAAAAAGCCGGATTGCCCTGAAAGACCCCACTTGTGCACGCTCAAATTCAATTGTAAACTCTAGCCCCAACCACACTATCATTAATCTTTGCATGCTCGGACTTTGATGCACTACCTACATATTCTTCTACCAAGAGGCTGAACGAAAAGCCAGAAGACCCAATTGCCCGAAGCGGGATGAGAAGCAAGTTGACTTTCCTCGCTTTTTTATTAGCGCGTACTGAGGTTTTTTCGTCCACCTTCAAGTATGACACATGAAGTTTCCGCCCTGATGTCCTATTTTCACAGAATGTTTGCTCATGAGGAACTAGAATCTCAAGTCCATTACATTGCTGTGAAGTCTTTTATTCCACCCGAACAGGAAGCTCCAGCTTTCGCACCCCTCTTGTGTGTGGCTCGTACCACTCCTTGCCTAGGTTTTTTTTTCCAAAGGCCAAACAATCCTGCAGAAACCAACTACCATTGAAACAGAAAACTCGAAAACTTACGTTGGAAAAGAGCTCCACTGAACATTTCGAATGGACCTTATACAATTAGATTAAGTCAATATTGACTGCTTTGCCTGGAAATTCCAAAAACAGCTGTGGTTTAAGGCTTGAGTTGATGTTGTAGTTATTAATACATTTACTTCATTTGTTATGGTGTATTTATTCTTTGTATTGCTCTTCTATTAGTTGGTTGGGACGCTTCAATCATAACTTGATTCGGTGGCGCGGCGGCCTGTGCTGCATCCTAAGGCCTTACCAATGATCTTCGCCCTTTCATTCCGAAAGCTGTGTCCGTGTATTTTTGCTGCGTACAAAAATGGATGATAACTTAATGATTTTGGAAATACAGCAAATATTAATATTAGGTCGGTCCATAAGTCTTGCAACAAACTACATTTAATGCTATAGAATTTTAGGGAGAACTCCTGAAAATCCGCAACATATTTCCTGACGTAGCATCAACCTTTGCAATTTCAGCCAACGGTCCAGCTCGTTGTCTGCTTACTTATTATGGATATTACACCGATTTCGCGAGAGGGCTCTCGATGCCCTTAATTTTTACGAGTACTGCTTGGAATGTTCCGCAAGTCATGCTAGACCAAGGATTGGCCAGAAGATAGGCGAGGGCGGCTTCACCTCTGCTCAGCGTATAGACTTCCTTATTTGAAAATAATCGACACTCCAAACCACCCTGTGACTAATTTTCATCGAGGAAATCACTAATGGCTAATATCTTGCGGCGTTGAAAACGGAGAGTGGCTGGATTGAGTATCGATCAATTTGCTATGCGATTTCCGATGCGGGGAGGAAACGGACGGAGACCAGCACTGCTGGCATCTTACCAAAGACTTGTGCGATCAATTTATAAAATGTAGAGTTTGGTCCCCACGTGCCTTGAGCCCGATTCAGCTCCAAACACGATCTGACACCGTTATGTTCAAGTCGACTTACTAGGGATTCTACGATTGACCATCCATCACATTTGCCGAAGATGAGGAGTGGGTACAGTTTACTAACAAATGAACAAGCGGCGGTAGTCCAGCTCAAACGCTTCGGGAGATCTTATTGCTTAAGTTCAACCTCGTCCAAGTAGGGCCTTCTCGGATTTTTGGTGGAACACGGGAGGAGTTAAGCTCTGGAAACCCCTCCGTGTAGATGTCGCAGTCAACGCGAAAGTCAACTATCCACAGCTCGAATGCAACGCTTTTAATACGAAAGAAAAACAAGGCAAAGTTTGCTTTTGTATGACACCGTTGAAAAACCTCTTGCTAAGAAAATTCAGGAAAATTTCGAGACTCTGGGACGGAGAGTTCTTCCGTATTCACGTTATAGCCCTGACCTCGTGGCAAATAATGCCCTTCTGCTCCCCTCTCCAAACCATCTCCTAGAGAAGAAAGCTCATCCTAACTATGATGATGTCAAAATCGACATCTGATCTTTCTTCGATCAGAATTCAGTAGAGTCCTACAAGGGAGGCATCGAGCAGCTACTAGTGTGTTGGCAATAGGTTGTAGATATTGATGGAGGGTAGCATGCCGGATGAATGGAACAAAAAGATAATGAAAATGTTAAATTGAATAACTTAATATAAGTTGTAGAATACGACTTTTGAAGAAACTGATGGGAAGT